ACAAAATCATTTTCCAAATGTGTAAAAGCGAAGGCCATGAACATATAGAACGAAAAAAAACAAACACTTTACAACTGGATATTTGAACACTGTCTAACGATGACCCTAAATGTCTTATCATCACGTTATTGAGCTTTCACTTATTGGACCGGTCTGTTAATGTGATAGCTCAACAATTTGATGATAAAGTCTAGGGTCGCCGTTTAGGCAGTGTTCAAACAGCCAACGCGATAGAATTTGAGCTCAGTACTCTCTTTCGCGCCAGCACCAAACAGAATAACTATCTTAGAAAAACCCGTTTGTGAAAAGCAGAAAGGAGTTCACATTGCACTTATATAGCAAGAGATAAATTACCTGAAAAGCTTTCACCAATTCAGGGATGTGGTTTCTCTTCAGAGCGGTGAAAAAAAAAGGAAAGCAACGGAGTACAACAAAATACAATGATAGAATTGAAACCCTAGTAATCCAGATGCTATAACAGTTTTCAAATGTCAACCCATATACGCTGCGACGCTTTCACTCGATAAATAACTTAAAGCGTTTAGCAATGCAATAGATTCCTTCAATACTCAAATACTATTCAAAAACAGTCTTAAAAACGATCAATAGCAAGGGGAAAGTCTTCTAGTTGGAGTACTATAAAAACAACAATAAAATCAAAACACTACCAAACCTTGAGCGCCAATGTGCAGCATTTGAAACAACTGCTGCGATTGTCGTTCGAGGTTCGCGCGCATATTCATAAGTAGTTGGCACTGTAGATGAGATGACAATGAGTTTTGAAGTAGTGCGTACTGCAGTGGTAGAGGCAAGAGCATGAGATTTTCTATGATGTGTAACGGAAGCTGGAGTGGCATTCCTGGCTCGAGGGCAATCACCATTTGGAAAATAATTTTGGCAAGATTGATCCATACAAGTGCATCGATGGATTGTGGCATTCAAAGGCAGAGAGTGGATGTCACAACCTTAAAGTAAGCGGTAAGCTATAGATTTTTAAAGCAACTATAATCAGTCTTGAAGGTGCCTTA